TACTCTAAAAACATTCGGTAGCTCACTTACATCTCGTGCGATGTTTGTATCATATGGTACTCCCAAAAAACAAGGTACTATAAGTGTCGTAATTATAAACCGACACTAGTAACATATAATACTCTCCAAAACAAAGTACTACAGGTCTCGTAATTATAAACCGATACTAGTAACATATAATACTCTAAAAACGTTCGGTAGCTCAGTTATATCTCGTGCGATGTTTGTATCATATGGTACTCCCAAAAAAAACCAAGGTACTATAGGTCTCGTAATTATAAACCGACACTAGTAACATATAATACTCTAAAATCATACTGAAGATCAGTTAATTCTCGTATGATATATATCTTTGAATTCATTTTTAATGCTGAGTCTATCGCAAATTCAAACATATTGCCAAAGTTATACAATGCCAATAAAACAACGAGCAGATAACTGTTATTATTCATTTAACGAATGGATAATGATATACGGAAAAATAGAGTAATTTACTGTATAACATTGAACATGTCTAAACAGCCCTAAAGTAAACTGTGTCATTACACTTCATTCAATACAGCATGGATACTATATAATATCTACAATAACTATTATAATTCACATAGTCTCATTAAATCATTGAAACCAGAATCAGACCTGTCGCCAAAATTTTGAAAAGTATTAACTTGTTTAACAGAAATATGCTTAACAAACTTCTTAAAGAATTCACTTTTATATTTATGTAATAAGAACTTATTTAATATCAAAGTAGCACACTATTATTTATGCATAACTTTAATATAATGTGTAATTGAATACCATTAGATAGTTTTGGTCGAAAGTAAAAGTTACAATTTGAAAAAGCATACAGCTCTTTGATGTCGCTAATACAATGCTTTTAAACTATATTTCTCGAAACCTAAACTTTGTGAATGAGCTCCTTTTTTTATTATTGAATAACTTATCGTTAATAAATATTTACAATGTTGGGAAAAAATCTACACCCCGAAATATGTTCAGTACGAAAACCGCGAACTGAAACCGCACAATATAAAGCGTTAAATAATAGATACAGCATAACAGCAACTAGATTTATGTATTATGAATAATCTGTAGTATACGTCAATTGTGATGATATCAAATTTTACTAAACCAGATGTAATGTTACATATTGAGTCGGTACTACATACAACAAACACTGATGATATGTCCTAAACTACATGTACTTACGCTTCATGAAATTCACCCTATTTAGCCTCTCAATGGAAATTGATCATTTTTTTTGTTTGTAATTTCCGTCGCATTCATGACAAATGAATTACCAAGGTATTATGAATACACAGGCTTGACTAGAATAATGAATAAATATGAACATTAATATTTTCTTTTCAAATTTTTGTCTAGGTGACATCAGATATGAGAAACAATAAAACCCAGGGCAGTATATGACACGACAGTCAACAATTGACCAGATCCAATATGTACATATCATATAGCAGAATCACGATGGGTCAAATAAATATATACAAACATTAAATTACTTCTGAAAGTATCTCTGTAAACTACAATAGTAAAGATAAAAAGATTGCAGAGGAAATTAAATTTTAACAACCCTCCGATAAGATCAACCGAAAGAATAAGTTTGAACACGAAACCTGCGTATGTAGGCGTATAAATGATTACAACTAAGCTTTGTCAAAACAATAAGGTCAACATAGATATCAGTTATATATGCATAGCATAGCATTGACAGCCATCAAATGCATCGAATCACTAACCTGTGAAGTTTGGATCGCTGGACCATTCCCCAGAGGGATCCAGAAACATTGGTATGGAGGAGGAGGGGAAGCCAGCGTCCTGGAGGGACATGTTGGCAAAGTAGGCGTTGATAGCCTCTTGTTGGTCGGCAGCGCTGATTTTATATTGATCATGACTTGACTTTGGACGTGGCTCATTTGTCTTTGGACGTTGATTCAGGTATGACTGTAAAACAAGAGAAAAACAAGAAACAATGAAATAAATGTTTCAAGATTATGTCCAGATTATGTAGTATACCATGACTATGAAATCTTATTGTAAATATATATATTCACAACCCATTGGACACAGAATGTCGTATGGTACCTTTGTGTAATAACTAATAGTGTATCACACTGTATTGTAATGATACGGATGTATCACACTTTATTGTAATGATACGGGTGTATCACACTTTATTGTAATGCTACGGGTGTATCACATTTATGTGTAATCAGAAGAGTGTATCACACTGTATTGTTATGATACGGGTGTATCACATTTATGTGTAATCAGAAGGGTGTATCAACCTGTATTGTAATGATACGGGTGTATCACATTTATGTGTAATAATTAATAGTGTATCACACTTTATTGTAATGATACGGGTGTATCACATTTATGTGTAATCAGAAGGGTGTATCACTCTTTATTGTAATGTTACGGGTGTATCACATTTATGTGTAATCAGAAGAGTGTATCACACTGTATTGTTATGATACGGGTGTATCACATTTATGTGTAATCAGAAGGGTGTATCAACCTGTATTGTAATGATACGGGTGTATCACATTTATGTGTAATAATTAATAGTGTATCACACTTTATTGTAATGATACGGGTGTATCACATTTATGTGTAATCCGAAGGGTGTATCACGATGTATCACACTAATGTGCAATACGGAATGTGGTAAAGGTGAGATACGGAACGGTATAGTTTGATTGGAGCTCCTTTTGGCTAGACATATTAGTTGTTATCGACCCATCAAATCAAACAAAGTAAACCAGAATAGTATCTGCCATTTGACTACCACTGTTTTGTTTCACAAAAAACGTTGATTTTTCATAAAGCAGCGTGTATATAACTGTCTGTTGGTCTATACTAGCTATATTAACAGGGTTGAATGTGTCATTTTTGACATTAAAAAACCAACAACATACGAATGAAGAACAAAATTGTGCTTGAAAATAAAAACTATGTAAATATACGGACTTATTAGTATAGTTTTATACTAATTTGTAAAAATGACTGTCGTTTCATAATCCTAACAACATAAATAACTGATGCCAAAAGAAAGTACGAGATTGAATGAAAATTCTAAAATGAAATTCATGTACTCATATACAAACATAGACATTAGTTATGCTAGACCTGTCCAAGAATATACTAAGAAATCAGAAAAATCTAAAATATTTATCAAACAACTCAATACAAAGTGTTGCTTACATGGTTCCAGGGCATATCATACATGTGACACTACGGAACACATCGGACTGTGAGGACCTAAATAACCCGTAATTATAGCTATTGAACAGACGTGGTAGTTATAATATCAAATGTCGAGTGGGTATATACGTGATATTTTATTGATAAATCATTTGTTGACCACCCAGTGCGTACATTGAAAACTGAATTGCCATTTTTTATGATCATATTGGGCACCTACGAGACTGACAATCAAAGTGTGATTTTTTATGGGTCTGTAGGGTCAGTGTTGATGATAGCCAATGTATTTCAAGTACGGCACTATGCTGCCTGTTATCTAAATCCTTAATCAACATTTTTCAATAATGGTAGACTTCTTACAATAAAAATAAATTTCCAGAAACGAAATCAGAATTAAAATGATAACTCTATGATTAGCCAGACAAGATTTAACTATGTATGGTAAGCTATAGCTGCTTGTGTGTAGATATACTGTGATATCCTTCTCATAAGCAATATACAGAAAATGGTATTCTATACAGATATGAATTTAGTACAGTTCTATACTATACTGCAAAATAAAACTACCGTTACATGATTCTAATAATAGATATATTAATATCCAGTTTAAACATGATGAACTAATGTCAAAAGCAAATACGAGACTGGATGAAAAATCTAAAAATGCATCTGATGTCCTCTAAGAAATAGAAAAAGAAAAAGATTATTTATGCTAGACCTATCAAATAGCTATCTACGTCTTATCTTTTTGATTAGAGTGCATTCGCCTCAACAATTCTAATTGTGCCTGCCGATGTGAAAATTTATAGCTTCCGTTGGATTTGTAATAAACATCATATCTAATCAATTTTCTGATCACATGTGTTTGCGAACGTCAATTGAAATTAAATTCCATTTGGAACTGAGATGGGTTTAAATGAAAATGATTTATATACAAACAAGTGGTTGGGTTTTCAATATACTCCTCATTCAATTTCGGTGACACATCAGAGGAATTATAAATTATAATTACTAAATGAACCTCAATAGCGCATGACTTCCCGTTTTACATTAAAATGACCTCTTTTCAGTAATTAGTTGGAGTTATCGTCAACAAGAGATATATATTAAGGTAGGCAGAAACACGGTCGCAACGACTCAAGGGGCTAATGTATTCAATACTTGTTAGCCTTGCTTACCAAAAACCCGTACTGAATATACCTTGTTGGGTATTGTTGTTATCTTACAAACATACACGATAACAATTCAGGTTAAACATGTAACCAAGAATCGCCGAGTTAAAACATTTACACACAATCTTGGCAATGATTTGATGGTAGCTAGCTAAGAACAAAAAGTATCCACAACCTTTAAGTTTTTGTTTTTACAAAATAACAAGAATAGCTGATACAACTTCACCTCGTCAAGCTAGCCATACATGTACACCATCGTCTGACGGCTTTCCAATTATTAAACCACACGGTTTGCGGATTCCTTTTCAAATATGTCTTAATTCAAGTTTTATTCCAAATGTTTGTTTGGCGTCAATCGTTCAAATTGATAGTAGATTTAATACCGTAATCAAATCACTAAACACACATACACTTTGTAATATAATGAAAAACTTTCTGTTATTCCAGCATTTCCATTATAAATCATTCTATTGTCAGTTTAGCCCTTAAACCAAGACAAGTTATACAGTATAAGTTATCATATTCCACGGTTTACGGCCAGTACAAATGTTGGTCAAATTTAACAAATGGTTTACCATTAATCTGTATACTCTCGGGAAAGTTATGCGTCCTGTATTGGAGAAGCAAAACTGAGAAAATCGCACATATTGTAAATAGCTAGGTTCTAAACGAACCTTATCAATAAGATACACCCAGACGGAACAAGCAGCATAGACAGGTTTCATGCCTCGCATGCAATCGATACAGGTGCAGAAACCTTGTTGTGTCTGAAGGGGTCAAGGTCAAATACGTGACAACCGCTGTCTGCCGGCCAAGGAATAAATCAATGTTCACGGGACCTGTTAACGGATATGTGATCGATGGCTTAGTCGACTTGATACCTGTGCATCAGTTAGATATGATCGTATCTGTTTGCGTAAGACGTACACTACTGTTAAACTTTTAAACATCATCCAGAACTTTTTATCTCTATTCGGATGAACGTTAAATTGCTCTTCCAGTCGATATCTGTTATTCTTCCATACTATTGCTGAATTCCAATGTCGTCATAAGTGTAATCCAGAATGGATCTATCACAATGAGAATTGGTCATACAGAGGATTAGATAGAATATGGAATCCATTGAGCGTCTAAGTACCGAGAAGTATATTATGATAGAGAATTTGACTTGATCCCGCCCTTGTTTAGACGATATGGCACGCCTCAAGTAGGGTGTTAATCTCTTAATAGGTCAGCGGGAAAGATTTCTCCAAACACACTTACAGCACTGATAATAACGTCATTCAATGTCCACACCACTTCTCTCATGAAGTGGAAGCTTTTACCTATAAAATATGAGTTATGGCAGATTTTCTTACTATTTAATTGTTCTGAATGGGTTATGACAGATTTTACAATGTATTTTTCTGTTTGAGTTATGCTAGCCTGCTTTGTATGGGGTATGGCAGATTTTACTACATAACATTCTGTTAAAGGTATAATTGGTTGTTCTGTAAGGGGAATGACATATTTTGCTACATATCATTCTGTTCAAGTTATAATTGGTTGTTCTGTAAGGGGTATGACAGATTTTACTACATACCATTCTGTTTAAGGTATAATCGGTTGTTCTGTAAGGGGTATGACAGATTTTACTACATAACGTTCTGTTTGAGTTATAATGGGTTGTTCTGTAAGGGGTTTGACAGATTTTACTACATAACATTCTGTTTAAGGTATAATTGGTTGTTCTGTAAGGGGTTTGACAGATTTTACTACATAACATTCTGTTTAAGGTATGATTGGTTGTTCTGTAAGGGGTATGACAGATTCCAATACATAACATTCTGTTTAAGGTATAATTGTTTGTTCTGTAAGGGGTATGACAGATTTTACTACATAAGATTCTGTTTAAGGTATAATTGGTTGTTCTGTATGGGGTATGACAGATTTTACTATATAACATTCTGTTTGAGTTATAATTGGTTGTTCTGTATGGGGTATGACAGATTTTACTACGTACCATTCTGTTTAAGTTATAATAGGTTGTTCTGTATGGGGTATGACAGATTTTACTATATAACATTCTGTTTGAGTTATAATTGGTTATTCTGTAAGGGGTATGACAGATTCCAATACATAACATTCTGTTTAAGGTATAATTGTTTGTTCTGTAAGGGGTATGACAGATTTTACTACATAGCATTCTGTTTGAGTTATAATTGGTTGTTCTGTATGGGGTATGACAGATTTTACTACGTACCATTCTGTTTAAGTTATAATAGGTTGTTCTGTATGGGGGAGGACAGATTTTACTACATAACATTCTGTTTGAGTTATAATTGGATGTTTTGTAAGGGGTATGACAGATTTTACTACATAGCATTCTGTTCGAGTTGTAATTGGTTGTTCTGTAAGGGGTATGACAGAATTTACTACATAACATTCTGTTTGAGTTATAATTGGTTGTTCTTTATGGGGTATGACAGATTTTACTACATAACATTCTGTTTGACTTATAATGGGTTGTTCTGTAAGGGGTATGGCAGATTTTACTCCATAACATTCTGTTTAAGGTATAATTGG